TACAAATTGGTAGTGATTCACCTTAAAAAATATAGCGGCAATGGCTACCTTTTTTTTTTTGTCTTATTAACATATGTGAGTTCTTTTTAACAAGAAAAAAAATATATATATATAACTCTTTTGCTCTTAACGAACAATGTTGGGAGAGCAGAATTGATTGTCTTGCTTATCCAATGTGATTCTCTTCAACTGACAAGGAGAGCGCATTCACCTCGAACAAATGATCACCACATTTGGAGTGTACCCAAATGTGAAATTATCAAATTGGGATTAAAGTGTTACTGCGACGAAGAGATATGTGGGAAGCGGGGAGAGTAGAACTTATTCGAATACGTAAAAGGATAAAAATGATGGAGAATATAAAAGAGACCCTTATAGGGGGGGGGGGGTGCCTTTTTCAGTTGTGTCCTGACGTAGCGGAAACGTCTGAGCTAGTTACTCATTTAGACGGGTGACAACAGCGCTTGGGGCGATGTATAAACAACTGTGTGTATTTATGTTTATTTCATTTTGCTTTATTCGGCTGTGGTTTGCTTTTTTTTTTTTTTTTTTTTTTTTTTTCCAAAATTGTGTAGCCACATGGTCGCCATGAAATATGCTGCTTGTTAAACAGTACATTGGCCATTTTTAGCCTAGTTCCCTGCCACCAGCGCGGTTAACCCCCTTTGGTGCATTGTTCCTTTAAGCTTCAAATGGTACGAGCGCACTTGGTGCAAAAATCAAATGTGTGTCTGTTCCCCCATGAATCGTATAATCTGCATATCCTATATGCTCTTGCACGTAGCAGGGGTTAACAAATATGTTTGTGTGAACCTGCTTGATGGGGTGGGGTGTGTTTTTTCAGCTTTCCATGATGACATATGGAAGGGCGGACCAACAGTGCAAATGACTTAGATGCCCCCATGGCAACTGTGCTAAAATGGTTGGCACGGCGGGGAACGCATGCAATATCTAAGCGCGTGTGTATACACATACGTTTATGTACATATATATATGTGGGGGAATAACAGCGGCAACTATTTTGGTGGAGTATGTGTAGGGAAATTTGGTTTCTTTATTTTCGCCCCGCGCGCATTTTTTTTTTTTTTTACCTTTTTTGCAATTTTCCCTTGGGGGGCTTTTGCTACAATTGCACATTTCGCCGCCTTGGGTATGCGCGGAAATATTCTTGTATGACCCTTTTCCTTGCGCGGTGCGCTATTGCTGAGAGGTGCATTTACACGTTGAGACAATCTAGCAGGAGGCCAATTTGCAGGCAACACAAATGCGCACTATAAAAATGAGGGGATACGCGCTCATGTTAACACAAACCTAATGGAATGAACACACAATCGCCATTGCTACCCCTGTTTATGTCAGCACCGGGCAGCGGCAAGTTCTCCCCCGGGTTACACTAAATTGGAGTAAGGGGAATCTTAAATTTTAAAAAGCAAGGCTTTTTCCGCATTTCTCATCAGGTCACTTTTTTGTGATTGTATCCGCCCCCCAGCGCGTTTTAAAAATTAGCCTGTTATTGCACGTACACTAATGTTTATGTGCGGATGAACATGTTGGTTTTTTTTCTGTTTTTTTCCCCTTTTTTTTTTTTTTTTTTTTTTCCCCTTTTTTTTTTTTTTTTTTCTTGACCCTTTATTTTTTTTTTTTACCATTTTTCCTTTTTTTTCTTTTTTGTTTCCCCTTTTGCATTGCCCTTATGTGAGCGACTATCCCACCATAGCGGTAAAGACGCATCCTTACCTCGGCAAAAGAGTTATCACAAGTGCTATGGCATGTTGGGATGCATCAAATGCGCATTTCCTTTTGTACACTTTTAGCGCTTAAGGAAGTTTCCCAATGTGTTTTACTAGGTATATAGGTACATTTGCGAAAACAAAAAAAAATTGTGACACAAGTTTGAAATATTTGAGAAGATATATATAAAAAAAGGTTGAACACAAGAAAAGAATATAAAATGCATAAATGAATATATGTATTGTATACAAAGCGTGTAATGAATTGCCCACTGTCAGAAAAGTATAAGACATTTATGTACCACCTTGAGTGTAAAGTGTTGGGAAATTGCGCCAAATGATATGTGCAATGTTTATATGTGCGTATATATATGCATAACTTTTTTTTTGATTAGTTCCACGCGCACACTGCTTTAGTATCCCATTCATTGCGCGAGAGGCGACATATAAGGCCACCACCATCTGGCAATAGTACCCCACGTGTGATCGGCAGGATTATTTTCTTTTCTGCTGAACGGTCTGCGACGGGGTTCTCCAAATTTTAAAACGGAAACAAGTAATAGAGGGTATGCAAGCATTCGTGAGCGTACACAATTTCTCGCGTAGCTAAGTTAACACAGTATTGCAAGTGGAGCCAAAACCCAACTGTGTGGTTTATACAATAAAAAAAACAGTCGATTCAAAGGGAGTCCAATTAAAGACAGCCCAATAGAGGAAAACCCAACGCGCACAACAAGTCTTAAGCGAAATATGAACCACTTGTGCAGATTTTAAGAAAGGAGAAAAGGGAGTTAAAAAAAAAAAAAAAAGCTAAACAAATAGGTAAATAACAGCATAACCAAATAAGAAGGACAGGGGAAAATGAAAGGTATAAGGAGTTTTGACCTTTTAATAAAGGGAAGAATACATTTAAAAAAAAACGAATTGAACAAAATAAGCAAGAGGACCTTTGGAGGAACCTTCAATCATAACATAAAAGAAAACGATCGCGTACCACCAGCCTTAGAAAATCCAAGTTATAAAAATTTGTTCGATCATGCAGATGATATAAAGCTGTGGGAAATAGAAGAGAAGGAAAATATTAGCCACAAGAAGGTGGAGGATTTGTCCGAGTTGGTTGAACCTTCAAATCATCCACATCAGTATGAAGGTATATTTGTGAGGACAAGATATGCCCATTATAACCAAACAGCTGAACCCGTTTTTCCAAGAAAACCAAATTTAGAAAAAGGTGAATTAGCTAGTGGAGCTAATGTAACAAGAACAGATGTATGGCATAACCCTAACGAACCTGCTGTTGTTTCAGTGGGTAAATTTGAACCACATAATTTTCGACCAGCTGGTTATGCTGAAAATGCACCCAACCCAGATAGTATAAACTCAGATTATCATCCAGATTTTAGAGAGTATAGATTAAGAAGTGGAAATGCAGATAGAAGAACTTTTATGTATTTTATAAGTGCCTCGTATTTTTTTATCATGTCTTCAATTATGAGATCCACCATATGTAAATCTGTGCACTTCTTTTGGATTTCCAAAGATTTGGTTGCAGAAGGAACTACAGAATTAGATATGAGGACAGTGAGCCCTGGAGAGCACGTTGTAATAAAATGGAGAGGGAAGCCAATTTTTGTTAAGCATCGAACCCCTGAGGATATTCAGAGGGCTAGGGAGGATGACAAATTGGTGGAAACTATGAGAGACCCTCAGTTAGATTCTGACCGAACTATTAAACCTGAATGGTTGGTTAATATAGGGGTGTGTACACATTTAGGTTGCATTCCAGCCCCCGGTGGAAATTACAATGGCTACTTCTGCCCTTGCCACGGTTCCCATTATGACAATTCTGGCAGAGTTCGTCAGGGCCCCGCGCCGTCCAATTTGGAGGTCCCTCCTTACGAGTTTATTGACGAGAATACGATCAAGATCGGGTGATCCGTTGCCTGGTTAAGCGGTTGCCTGGGTTAGAAGCGGTTGCCTTCATTTTTGCTGCCGAACACCCCTCATGGGACGCTCGCAATGGCAGAGCCATGCCCAATAGAGGTCAGGCCTACACTGGATAAGTCGTGGAACGACGCAAGGACCCACCCATTTGAATCCTCGCCCATCACCTCAAAGGCCACCTCACTCGTTCACGCAGGTAGAAGCTTCACAGTGCGATCGCCAGCAGTTCCTTTTTTTTATCCCCCTGCACATTGCGCACTACACTTTTTGTTCGTTCATATTTTTTTTTTTTTTTTTTTTTTTTTTCCTACCCTCCAAGTAGACATATTTTTGTTACAAACAAAACAGGCCATTCTTTAAAAACACCATGCCATGTATATATAAATATATATAAGCACATGTGTGTGTGTATTCATGGCGCACCCATTTGGGTATAAGCAGAGCACCTTTCAATAGTGTAAGAAATGGTTGGCGACAATGTGTACGAGTGACTCCAAAGGGACGAGTCAGCCATGGTGTGTGCATTTATCCATCTGCAATGTGGTCTTAAAAGGTCCCGCGTCTCTACCTCTTTTCTTTATTATTCCGTAGCGTTGTATAACAAGATGGCAATAAACGGATCGCCGTAAAAGCGTCAGGGGGGGTTCACATATTCTGTGCGCAATGTGTACCCAGGAGGGGAAAACAAAAAAAACATATCGACAATGCAATCACAAATTTGTGTCCATGTAAAAGGGGAATACGTGGAATGAGCCAAAACGAAAATGCAACATTCCAAGTAAGCATGAGAAAGTATGGCGATCTTTCCCTCGTAGTCCGTTTCAAATTTTTGTGCTGCAGGATAATTTGCCGTTGTGGACAAAATATAGAATCGAAAATATTTTTAAAAAATTGTGTTTTAAGTTTCAGAATGACGAATGGACCGCAAAAAAAAAAAAAAAAAAAAAAAGAAGCGTGGCATTACAAAAAGGGGTATCCACGCGTGTGCAGGTAATGCGTGTATGAGCGTGTGGGTGAAGGGGCGAGTAGGCCCTAGGCGAAGGTGTGTGTGCCTGCGCACGTGTGCATACGCGCGTGATGGGGCATTTTTAAAGATGCCCAGCGGGTGAAAAGACTAAAACAATTGTGTGAAGGGGCAAACGTAAGCATGCGCACGCAAACGAGCGAGCTGCGCTCTAAGGACGAGTGCACAAGAAAGATGGGTGCAGTGTACACGCAAGCGGTGTGAGTATTCCTTATTCATCCATACGCTTTTCTGTCCTTTCTTCTGCCTGTTCATTCCTCCTGTTCAGTCTTCCTCGCCTCGCCTGCGCCACTGCTGCACCGTCACGTCCTGTTGCAGGTGCAACCCTGAACGAACGTGTTCAGCTTATTTGATAAATGCTTGTACAAGAGGAAACAGAAAAAATTGCTTATGACGAAAATTATCAGGAGGAAGCCCAAAAGGAAGACGTATAGGTTCCTTGTATTGTGAGGAGGTCCATACGCGCCGCCAAACTGCGATCCGCCGAACGGCACGCCGGTGTGCGGTGTACCGTTCAACTGTGCACCGTTACACTGTGCAGTTGCATCGCCGGCATGGCCCCTGGTAATGTAACTGATAATGATCCTCCTGTAGTGTCTGAATTTGTAGAGAATGTATTGAAAAATGGTTAAATTATTCCTGAAAAAATTATAAACTTTGAAATAAAATGTTTGAAGGCTGTCCACTGAAGAATTATAATAAATGAGGGGTGTTTTGAATATGTCGTTATGACAATGATTTTCATAATACAAAAAATTGAATATATTTCTTTTTTTTTCTTTAAAAATAAAATTTGGGTTTTTATCGTGAAAGGCATTTTTATTATGTAGTAGCATATTTTCTTCTTCTTCACCACATAATGGGAACTTTCCACCCATGGAGGGAGAAGTGTTTCCCCCGTTGGCAGCATTCGCCGTTCTTCTTCCTCCACCTACACCTGTCCCTACTCCTCCTGCGCCTCCTCTTGTGGATTTTTCGAAAAGATATATTTTTTCGATCTCATCGTATAGTAAATCTTGTAAATATTTGCAAATATACTGGAGTGAATCAAAATGTTTTTTATCATTAATTTGTAAAATGCATATATCTTTCAATATCTTAAAAAAGGATTCTGTTTTATTTCTGTTTTTATGTAACGTTTTCATATTTTTTTCATTTATCATAATATATTTTAGGAGAAGGCTAATTGTGTTTTGTAAAATTTTAACATTGGACAACATGTGATATATGATTTTGGTTTTGTTGTTGGTAATTTTTATTACATCTTTCAATTTTGAAATTACATAATTATTTTTATTTTCGATTGTTTTTACTTTATCCACTAATGTTAGTAAGGCATGTCCTCTTGTATTTTTTGCTTTTTCTTCAATTTTTTCTTCTCGTATGCAATTTTGTTCATACAGATCATACTGGATGTTATCATTGAGCACATGATCAAATTCGTTAAGATATTGTAATTTATTTTCTTGAATATATTTTCTTTTCGTTTTAGTGTTTATTATTTTATCTTGCATTTTATGTTCTGGTTTGTTAATAATTAATGGGATTTGTTTTCCTGATTTTAATTTGACAGAATAAATTTTCGACTCGTTATTATCATCATATTCGCTAATGATATCGTACACTTCGTTAACAAGTTTACTATTGCTTTCTTGTGTTTCTTTTATTTCGTTCAAGATTTTTATACTTTTGTCATTGTTTTTCTGTTTGTACTTTACATTTATAATATTTTTCATTTTGTCTTTCTTGTGCATTTCTTTATGTATCCCCGCTTCATCTACGTACTGTTTTAGATATATGTCTGAGTATATCATGTTTTCTATTTCGCTTAGGGTTAGGCACATGTTTGCCTGATCGAAGTGACCACGTTGACTCCTTTGGATGTGCAATTCGTGATATGTCCTTTTTGACTCCTCCAGCAGGTTGCCACTAGCTGCCTTCGCACTCTGGTCATTTTCCGCTAAGCCATTTTTTTTCCATCCTAAGCTGTTTTTCCAAACCGATATACGACCTGTAATTAGGTCTACAAGAAGCTCCGTAATCGCTTCACACTGGGCTTTTTTTTCATATGGCAAAGTTTCTTCTTCATTTCCATGTACACTTAGCACCTTTTGTGGGGCGTGCAGTAAGTTTGCCCTATTTTTCACCCTACGGGACAGGTACATGAGGGTGGCATTCCCCATCCTAGTCGAAATGGCGTAAACTAGCTTACTTTTAGAAGTGGGCAATTTTTCTGAAAAAAAGTAATTTATCGTGCAATTTGCCGTATGATCCGAGATGACGCTTCTTACGTACTTTTTGTTCTTCGTTATGTCCTCTCCAATTCTGCTACTAGACAGACTACTCCATATATCTGCCACACATTTGGACATGAGCTTCATATCCCTGGGGTTTCTCATCAGCGCCATGGTGTGGTAGCGCGAGTGCACGTTTTTGCATCTTAACATATGCAGATACAGCGTAAAGGTGTTAATGGTTGGGGGAGTTTCGGCCCTAATTTGGTGATTTATAGAGAGGTCCTTCGAGTGGAGCGGCTCCCTGGGGCGGGGTAGTTCCCAATCAGCATAGTACTCCCCATCTAAGTAATAATCCGCATTATCTGCGTCCTCCTCCTCTTCATCCTCCTCCCTGCAGGCATAGTACGACAAATCTGTTCTCTCCACAGGGTCGTGCCTTTTGCAAGTCCTGCTTGTGTCCGAATGCGCAAAAAGAAGACCGTGCAGTTCCTTCTCAAATGTCGATTTATTTTTTTTCTTCAAAAGCAGCCCATTCTTTATTATATCCACACACCTGTCACGGTAGCACAGACTAGCTAGTGAGGCATAACTCATGAAAGACATAAGCAATACTGAGTTGAATATGTTTTTCCACTTCATCATGAAATCAAAGCACCAGTTGATACTCTCCAAATTGTGTGTCTCGTGTCCCTTTCTTAGTTCATGGAACAGGTACATCATTATCAAGCCGTCCTGTGGTTGTTCCTTCAGAGGGGACATAATTTGCAGGTCCTTTATTCTATTCTGTTGTTGCATTTTTTCCCATATATAAGTCATGCGGGGATCGTCCTCCCCCATCTTGTGCGGTAGATACCTCGATGCATCGCATGTTGGAAAACAAAAACGGGGTGAATAAGAAGCGTGTAATTTTTTTATGTGTCCTATTTTATTAAACTGTTTTAATAAGAAGAGTTTTCTGAACAATCCCCTATTTTTTCTGATTTTCCTTTTTTTTTTCTTCAAAATTTTATACTTCCTTTTTCTTAGGCGGGGCAATCTCTTTCCAGATATGAAGAAGAGATACTTTCGCAAAGTGGACTTGATTAAGTTACTTCTAAAGGTAAGCAATTTGTTAATATCTCCCGCATGTTTTTTCAAGCAGACCATATCGAAATTGCACAGAAGACGGGGCTTCCATACAGTGAGCAGGGAGTATATACGCCTATTCTGCAGTATACTATTTTGTACGCTTTTTATAGCCCCATAGTTGTAGCAGTGCACTTTGGCAGGTTTCCTTGTTGGTGCGCCATTCGGACTCGCTGGAATGGTACTCTTATCAACAGTGTGTGGACTTGTTCCACTGTGCAGGGGAACGTGTCTTGGGATATTCACACGGCTGTACAATTTTGGAAAAACACCTCTCTGGAGCACACGGAATGGGTAAAGAAATCGCTGACGGGTCGGTACATGTTTCTCCACTGTGCTTCCGCCAAGAAGTACATCATCCACGGGGTTGAGGAAGCGATCCATTTGGATGGCGTCTTTCACGTTGTAGTGATCGTAGTTGAGCTGGTCCTTATACCTCATCAGGTGTGCAATGTAAGGTATGTACTTGTTAACCACATTTTTGTAATTGACGAATCGGTAATTTTTTAAAAGCTTGGATATTCTGAGTTTGTTAAAATTTTGAAGTACAGCATATTTCTTCTTCACAGTTTTGTTCAGGATGACTAGCGCATGAGGTGAGACATTCTTGTTGTATCCTTCCTGGCCTAGCACATTATTTTTTGTGGCTACAGTCGAGGACACACTAAATTTGTCTTTCTCTTCTTCCTTGTGTTGATTGCTATTCTCTTCAACCTCCTTGATGGTGTTCCTTTCATGGTCTCTTTTATCATCATCAACGTTTCCTATTTGTTCTGTTAAATTATCAAGTGACGGTTCGTTCATGTTACCACTTTTGGAGTCTCTCTCTACAAGTTGTGAGTTCATTAGTTCTTTTTCAATGAGCTCCATGTCCATGAGTTCCTTTTTAATCAATTCTGTGTCCATTACCTTTGAATCCATAAGATCAGTGTCTATTAATTCTTCCTTTACCGTTTCTGGATCTAAGAAGGATCCTTCGAATGGGGTAAAGTAGGAGGGCGTGGGGGGGGATTGCTCCGATGTGATGGTTCCGGTAGTGTGTATATCTGTTGAGTGTAGTGCATCCTGGTCACGCTTCTTATCTATGTGTCTCTGTCCATATCGACGGTCGCTTGGTCCTGGTGCAGTGCCCCTTCCACCGTGCATGCGTTCCTTGTCCTCAAGGAGAACCTCCAAATTTTCTATAACCTCATGATCACGAATGTTTTCATTTTTTTCATGTTTGTAATTATCGTGGAAATCTTTTTCAAGCTGAGTGATGTTATCATCTGAGTATATTTTATCACTGAGCATATCAACACCAGATGATGCAAAAATTTGCAAATGTGTCAAGGTACAATAATAATTATTTTCTAAATTGTGATGAGACAGGACAACAAATTTCATATACTTGACCCAACAATTATCTTCATCGTAATTTTTACAATAATCATATATGTTAAAGAGTTCAAAACTTTTTGTAAAATTGGTAGCAATTTTTCCTAGCTTTTTCCATTTTTTTGTTGGGTATACATCACTCCCTAATATTTCAATGACTTTGAAATTCGACGCATAATGTTCTAGTGAGACTAATCCAATTTTCTCTATATGTATAATGTCACTGAATGAGTAGATCCACCAGATGTCTGAATTGCATGGCGTCAGCATGTAACTGTCATAGTCGTACTGTTGAATGGATCGAATGTTTATAATTCCTTTGCTGTACTCGATTATCTTCGTCCCGGTGTCTAGGGAGCCGAAGTCGATCTTCAGGTTCAGACTCGTCAAGTTGTAGTTTTCGCCGAGAATGTACTTTTCTAAATGGGGAAAAAAAGGGGGGAAGTGGCCAAATGATTACTCAGGTGTGAAGTGATCACACGGACGTAACGCATTGATCAAATCTGCGATCTGCCTCTAGCCAGGAAGACCCCGGGGGGCGCCTCTCAGGATCACCTCACACACACATACCTGTCGACGCGCTGTCTTGATGTTTATTTATGTCATTCATATAAGTCGTATCTTTGGGGGTGAAAAAGCTTTTTATAAGAAAAAACAAAAAATTTATTGAAATTAAAAACCACCATATCATATTCCCTTGTCTTCCGTAGTAGTAACGTTTCGATTTTTTTTTTTTTTTTGTTTACACTTATTTAGCTTTCTGGCTACTCTGCAATTTTGAAGACTGCCCATGCTTGTCCCCTTTGGTATGCAGCGTTCACTGAGCACTGTTGCGGGGCGTATTTTATGTGGCTACTTCTGCAGGTGCGCTGGCACTTATTTAGATTCTTGAGAAGTCGCATGCTGCATCGTTTGTTTTACGTAAAGATGAACCAGTCTGGTCACTTTTGAGGGCCGATCGCGTGGGGGCATGTATATCCTGGGTGCATCTGCGCAGTTGCGTAGTTGGGTAATTGTAGAGTAGCTGCAGAGTTGTGTACCTGCATGTCTGCGTATCTGCGCATGTACTTTCTTCCGTTTCATCAACCGGTGCCTCAAATTACGGTGATCCCTTCCTCGACACGTTTCCGGTCAGCATGCGCGTGCTCGATGATTGACTCTGTTTTGCGTCGTGCTTTGGCCGAAGTGCTTGCGTGTTCTCAAATATATTCATGCAAATATGTACTTGCATGTATAGGTGCGCCCATAAAGGTTATGCGAATGGGTCTACTGCCTTGAGGGTATTGCACTTTCCCCGGGAGTGATCTGCAGAATAGGGGGATGGCTCCGTTTCTGTGTCTTTTTTCGTTTTCTCGTTTGGACTTGAGATGCGGAAAAGGGGCACGTTACGGAAACGACGAATTGGGAAGATCAAATGGGTTGGGGATGGGACAAATGGGCGACGCTCCGAAGTACAGCGGGCGGCACAGCAAACAAATGGAGATAGCGCTGCGAATTAAGCAGGCGGTACTGCAAACAAATGGAATGCATGGCAAACAAATGAATAGCGCTACAAACAAATGGGTTGCGCCGCAAACAAATGGATAGCACCACGAACAAACGAAAGCGCTTTTTGTGCGTGCTTTTACAAAAGGCGCACGCGTTTTTATAAGAGTCCCATACAGGTACATTTACATGTGATAAATATGAAGATAAGCGTTTCACAGGACTTCCATTTCCCTCATATTAGTCAATTTAAAACGCCGAAAAATGAAAAAAAAAAAAAAAAAAAAAAAAAAAAGGTACAATATAGCAATTAAGCAGTGGGGCAAGGGAAACAGCAAAATTGCGGAGATGCGAAGTTGCGAAGCATTGCAAAAAAAAAAAAAAAAAA